TTTCGGGTTTCCTGTGTGAACAAGAATTTATCTGGAAACCAGTCGGGATTCCTATGTGAATCAGTGCTACGTCATTTTGCACTAGTGCACTCTCAAGCGATAGTCCGCTGTCTAAGAGCCATTGGGGGACTCTGGGCTCGTGATCGACAGTCTTGTGTCAAACATTTCGATGGGTCCCCTCCCACAAGAACAAAGAAGTTTATATTCCAAGTAGTAAATGTGGGTTTCCTGTGGTACAACTTTCAAAATGGCGGCCAAAGCGATCGTATTGCCATCTACCGGTAAAATACTCCAGTGAATACTCCATATTCTTTTCGTTTATATGATTTTATTTGAAGTATCGCTTTCAACTACATCTATTTTGTGAAAAATCTCACTAGTTTCCGGAAACTAGTTGAACTAGTCTAAATCCGCCCCTGAGTACGATAAAGCCATTGTTGCACTTTAGCTTCAGTGCTGTTAAAAACTTCAGTTTAGATTCAGTGAATCTTAAATCTTAAGTCTTGAATATTGTTAAGATATCAAAAACAGCAAATTTCGTTTCCACGCGGAAATATAAAGTACACTAAAATAGTATCCACACTAATAGATTAAAAGTCACTCCAAAACTTGAAAGAAACGAAACATATCAAACAATTGCCCCCACAAAGTTATCCTTCGTTTAGCAGCCATATATGGTAATCTTACCTTATTTGGAAGTTCGATAGGAATGTTTTTTGTCGATTTTCTCGACTTTTAAAGCTTGAAATCGTCGGAAACTTGCAGATATTATAGCGAAAACACTTCTAAACAATCCGCCATTTTGTTTGTTTCCATATATGGCATGGATTCGCTAAAGGAAGCCCAAAACTAAAAAGCACAGGGAACCCGCACGAATGATATACAATTCTTTGATATGAATTGTAAAAAAATAATCTAGTTATCTGACCTACATGTCCAGTACTGTAAACTCTTTGTCAAGCACTTAATATCACTTGTGCCGAATGCAAAATTTTCTGATTCCGATTTTATGTTTTTGTTTCTCATTATTTTGTGTGCATTCAATTCTAAAGAACAGAGATTTGACGTCTGAAACCGGCGGAATTCACAGCAAGTGTAAACATTTTTTACAATTAAAATAAAATTGCAGTTTGTATGTCAAATTTGTGTTTATGACTTTCCATTTTTTTTTCCTATCCAACCAATTTTAAAAATAATTTAACACACCAATAGATGTTTTCATATAAAAATGGCGTTATTACTTTCAGTTTATGTAGAAAAAAAAACATTGCAAAATAAATTAAACTAGCTCTTAATCTACGTGGATCCCTTCTTATGTCTTACTCAATGAGCAAACACTCCGCTCAAGATCACAATTTTTTTTTCTTTGCATGCTTCCTTGGAAAAAAATCAGTGTAAAAGGATAAAATTGGAAAAACGACTGCCATAAAAATGCATAAAATAAGATATTTTTTTTATGAAAAAGAAAGGAGAAATTTTATCGGACATCGTCCTTTAGTAAGAACAATTCCAATTTGATTTTCTATAGTATAGCTGCATCGACGAAAAGTAAAAATAAAATAATATATACATAAATGATAAATCAAGAAAAAGGGGAAAAATATTCACACGCGTAGGTAATATTGAAAGTTGTTTTTATCCAATACTAATTAACTTGGTTATATTGCAGCTGTCAGTAACATGAAGGTATATTTTATTCATCAATCTCTAGGTTATCTTTATTGGAATGATGCGGTGTGTATAACTGTACATATCCAACGGCTTAGACTGACTAACTGATCTTAGCCTGAAAACATTTCCAAAAGTAGAAAAATTATCAAACAATAGTCAAAGTTTCCAAGAATGACCTCATCCATTGCAATTCTGTCCGTGCTTTTTCTTTTCTTGGGAGTGCACAACAGCAAAGGCGAAGAAACATCTGACTTGATCTTGTTAGATTATCACCGTGCTAAAAATTTAACTGTACAAAGCACATCCCGAAGTCAGTCTGTACAAGTCAAGGACAAGATGGAATGTTTTGGCAAGTGCATTGGAGTTGGTTGGTGCCAATCGGGTAATTTCAAGACCACTCCAGAACATAATGGTCTTCATGTTTGCCAACTTCTGCCTTCTGATCGATTTACTAAAAGTAACACTTTAAAAGACAACCCGGCATGCGAGAACTTTAACATTAAGGTAAATTTACTGTTGCTTCTTACTATAAATTTTTTCAAATATCATCGTCTAAGTTAAGGAACTTTTTAATATTTTATTATTTTTTATCTCAACCTAAAATCTCCATCATCAACGTTTTTTTTGTTCTTGTTCTTGTTCTTGTTCTTGTTTTTCTCCTTATCTTTTCAAATTGAATTTAATCTCAGACCCCCTGCCACAGAAAGAACAAGCCATGCCTTAACGAAGGCAGGTGTGTCTTTAAAAACAGCACCCATCAATGTCAATGTGAAAATGGGTATCGGGGAAAACAGTGCCAAAAAGGTAAAATCTTGGAATTATCATCTTGAAAGTCGTGTCTTTGCATCAAAGTTAGGCGACCGTGCAATAACAAAAACCTTCTTACACATCTATAGACAATTATATATACCGACATCTGTCATTGCAGAATCAACGCTCGTCTCGTTCGATGCAAAGACACGGCTGCCCTTCTAAAAGTCGCATGCCACTCAAGAAGCAAACTAATGTTTCTAAATCGAGGCCACGGTCAACGATCTTTGAATGTATTGTATAGACCATATGAAAGAGGGCGTGGCTATCGTAACTCCTTTATCGTAACTCCTCGATTTTTATTGTATCATTGCTACCCTTTGAAATAACACATCACAATGAATAAGATCTGGAAGTTTCAATGCTCTAACATTTAAGGACAAGAAATTACAGGTGTTTGAAGTTGCAAATGTTTGAGTGAAAATGAGTATGGAGGCCTGATCAGCCTCGTTTTTACGTTTTTGTTACATTTCAAATGCTCATAACTCTGCTGATATTTAACAATTGAAACTAAAACTCCACCAAGTTAGTAATTGAGATATACTCCTTCATACGGTGAAAACAGATGTTCAAAAATATGGAGCGTTTAATGTGCTCATTCCCAGTCTTCTGCTCGTTTTTCATGGTCAATAGTAATAAAACTGTTAGCTGGGATTGAAGAAAAAAATAAACATTTTCATGAGTCAGAGAGTGACACCATTTTTTAATCACAGTACCACCAAACTCTTGCAAAGCACTTCTCCAAGCAAACTCTTCCTTGCCGTCTGGATTGTATTCCATTTCCCCAGATGGCACCAATGTCATCAAAGTCTACTGTGATATGGTAACGGACGGTGGAGGCTGGACTCTAGTATACAGCTATACGTTCACAAACTATGGTAATTTTAAAGCAACAAGCAATGCAGTGACACCACAACCAAACTGGCCAAGCAAGGGTAACGTCCCAGTATCAACCACCCCTCCCCTCAGTGAAACTGATTACGCCGCGTTGGAGTTTGAACTATGGAAAAACATCGGTGGTCAAGAGGTAAGAGTATTAAAAAAAACTAAAATAGCCCTGCACTAGCTACTATATTTGACATCGGCCAAAAAAAACACTCAAAATAGCAATCAATAGTCAGTAGAGCAAAGTGACTACAGCGTAAGCAATATTTGCTTTGCAGGTCATCATTAAATCAAACATCAATCACTGGATTCAGTGCAAGGAAGGAACCGGAAGTCTAGTGAACTGGAGAACTGGAAGTTTTACATGTACAGTGATCAAAGCAGTTGCCTCCGGTTGTATTGATACCGTTCCTTCACAATTAGCTATTGCTAATTATGGGCCCTATTTCAAACGGGGTTCTGGCTTGCTGACTACGTACTATCTCTTTGAAGTCTTCACCACAAAAAACTGGCCAACTCACGACCCTTGCGGAACAAATAAAGACGGGCACGTTAAGGGTGTGGCTAATCCCCATGGTAACATCTACATACGCTAAATAGCGTTACCCAGAACCATCGCAATCTCAGCTCACGTTATGGAATATATCTAAATATATATGGCATAATAATAGCAAAACTGAGGTATATATTTTGAACTTTGAATCAAATTTCCAGCAACATTTTTTGGAGGTTTGGATGGGAAATTTTTTACATGTTTTAAATTCTAAAACCCATTATAATGACACTTAGTCGAATAAGAGATTGCTCAAAATAACTATCATGATGGTTTTAAGTAGAACTAGTTGTTCAGGAATAACTACTAACGAAAGTTTTTGAAGAAACGAACAATTGTGAAAAAAAATCTATTTATCTGATTTCAATGCTCAGTACCATAAACTCTGTCTCAAGCACATAATCTCACTTAATGCACAAGTCTTCTGGCTTTGAAACCTCAGAAATTTACTACAAGTGTAAACCTTTTCACAAAATAAATTTACAGATTGCATGTCAAATTTGTGTTATTGAATCCAATTTTACCCTATCCCCAACCAGTTATAACCACAATACTTTTTGAGTTGCGTAATTACTTTCACTTCTAGGGAAAAACATAGGAAAAATAGGCGATAAAACTCTTAATCCACATGAATACCAGCTTCATTTTCTTTTCCAATGAAAATAAAATCTGGTAGGGCTCCAAATTTGATTTTTTTTCTCACATCGCTCCACTCGCAAACACTAAAAAAGTATATATTAGAAAACAACATATGTATTGCAGCTAATTAAATGATTTTATTTATAAAAAGACTTTAAAATTATAGTCTTTCAGGTTTGAAGTCAAATTTCTAAGTGTAGCCATAGATAAGGAAAAGAAAAAAAAGGAAGGAAGTCCATAAAGCACGATTTTATTTTTTATTTGAAAGGTTGATGTAGCAAAGTACATTATGAAGCTATATGCAACCTACAAACAACATTTTGACTTGTATTAGAAAGTTGTTTTTATCCATTACTAAGTAACTTAGTTATAATGCATAGTTGTCAGGGGAAGAAAGTCATATCTTATTAATCAATCTCAAGATTTTCTTTATTTGAATGACGCGGTGTGGACAAGTATACATTTGCGACGCAGGACTAATTGATCTTTAAGTGAAAATCTTCCGAAAGACAAGTCATTGTCGAGCGAGTGTCTTCTTGGCATTCACAAAAATGTCTCCATCCATTATAATTGTGGCCCTGCTTGCTCTGTACTTGGGAGTGAACAAAACCAATGCCGAAGAAGCATCTGACTTGATCTTGTTAGATTATCATCGTAGTAAAAATCTCAGTGTGCCAAGTACAGCCCGAAGTCAGTCTCTTCAAGTCAAGGACAAGATGGAATGTTTTGGCAAGTGCATTGGAGTTGGTTGGTGTCAATCGGGTAATTTCAAGACCACTCCAGAACATAATGGTCTTCATGTTTGTCAACTTCTGCCTTCTGATCGATTTACTAAAAGTAACACCTTTAAACACGACCCAGTATGCGAGAACTTTAACATTAAGGTAAGATAGCAACACAACAAAGAAAAGCATAAAAAATTCCTCTTCTTCCTACCATCTTTTCTTCTTTGCCTTGCTTTTTTCCTTCAATTTCTTCACTTATCATTTCCGTTATACCTTTAATTGTTTTTATTTTTCTACTTATCTTAACGCTAATTATATTTGTTCTCAGACCCCCTGCCACAGAAAGAACAAGCCATGTCTTAACGAAGGCAGGTGTGTCTTTAAAAACAGTACGCATCAATGTCAATGTGAAAATGGGTATCGGGGAAAACAGTGCGAAAAAGGTAAAATCTTGCAATTATCACTATTGAAGACTTCATGGCGTTAATGTTTGTTTGTTCTTCAAACGTTTCTCGGTTCCCATTGTATAAAGTTACGTAACGTCACGAGAAAAAGGAAAGGGAAGGGCCTGTGTATTAAAGGCATCTATATGATTTGTATTTTTTTTTCTATATGATTTGTATTTTTTACACCCGATTTCAAATGAGTGCGAACTCTCGAATTTTTTTCGTACGCTAAACTTTCACTCGACCGTCATTCACTCGACCACTTGGTAACCTGGCACAGCTTGAAGNCATGTTCATTCGCCATCAGAGAGTGAAATCCCTTTTTAAATTACAGTACCACCAAACTCTTGCAAAGCACTTCTCCAAGGAAACTCTTCCTTGCCGTCTGGATTGTATTCCATTTCCCCAGATGGTACCAATGTCATCAAAGTCTACTGTGATATGGTAACGGACGGTGGAGGCTGGACTCTAGTATACAGCTATACGTTCACAAACTATGGTAGTTTTACAGCATCAAGCAATGCAGTGACACCACAACCAAACTGGCCAAGAAGGGGTAACGTCCCAGTATCAAGCACCCCTCCCCTCAGTGAAACTGATTATGCCGCGTTGGATTTTGCTCTATGGAACAAAATTGGTGGTCAAGAGGTAAGTCCAGTATTATATCGAGTATGAGCAAAGTTTCATCTTCAAGCATAATGTATTTATGATGTTTTAGAAATTATCTTGTTACTTGTATTATTACTTGAAATCTAGCWTAATAACCCTAATTGTTTTATAATTATCTTTATAGTATAGCTAAGATAGTACGCGCGCTCTGATTGGCTGAAAGTCAAAAAATAATCCTCTCTATTTAGCGGTTGGAAAGTAGAGAACGTCTACATAGACTTGAGTTAATCAAACTCTTTTAAGTCCGTTTTCATTGAATTTTCCTTAATTAAGCCATTTGGCGACATGAATTTTGTTTGAAATTTTTTTGATTGAAAGTGTAAATTTGCACATTTTCTTCTGTCTTACGTAATACGCACTCAATGTACGGAGAATATCTGTATTCATCTTAAAATAAAACCATATTTTTATCAAAATTTCAAAATATCATAAAAGCAATAGAAGATTTTTCCTGCGACTCTACCGGTGAAATAGAGCACTTGTGATGTTGGGAGAGACACTCGAAAAAGTTTTAAAGTCACTCGTGTCTCTCGTGTCTCTCCCAACATCACGCGTGCTCTATTTCACCGGTAGAGTCACGGAAAAAATCTTCTAAATAAAATACCTATATTTCTCCACTACGTTAATCTGTTATTTTTACTAGTGAAAATATAAAAATGTTATTTTCAGTTTAGTGGAGCAGTAGTGAAAATAACACATTCGAGGTTTCTCTATATAGTGGAAGTAAAAAAGGGTATTTTACGACATAATTTGCTTTTATATGTGATTATTTGATAAACAGAATATTACATGGTTGCTTGGGGACACGAATTTTATCTTCTCGTGTTGAAAAAAACGACACTCGAAGATAAAATCCGTATCTCCGCGCGCCCATATAATATCCTCTATGCATTTACAACGTTTTATACATTTTCTCACATTCTTATTTGATTTTCGAGTCTATCCCATGGTTAACTTGYTTTTCTACGTTCTCCTTTGTTTCCATCTAATATTTGTGGCTATGCCTAATGTTCATATAATCGCCCGAATCGTCTCCGTTGCCCAACTTTTGTTTGTACAGGRTCGACTGCAATCGTCCTCTGTTGACTACTGCTCCACTGAACTAAAAAAAACTAGATATGTACCCCTTTATTTGGGCATCAGGAAATATAATAAACACCGCAAAATCGAACCCAAAAATCAGTACATCAAAGTTCGATTCAAGGTGATTACATTTTGATTTGTGTAGGTTTTTATAAAATCCAACATCAATCACTGGATCCACTGCAAGGAAGGATCCGGAAGTCTAGTAAACTGGAAAGGCGGACGTTTCACTTGCCAAGTGGCCAAAACAGTTGCTTCCACTTGTCCCGATACTGTCCCTGGACATTTAGCTATCGAAGGTTATGGGCTAAATTTCAAACGCACCTCTGCCTCGTTGAGTACGTACTATGTCTTTGATGTCTTCACTTCAAAAAACTGGCCAACTCACGACCCTTGCGGAGGAAATCAAGACAGACACGTAAAGGGTGTGSCTAATCCCCATGGTAACATCTACATACGCTAAATATAKTTACCCAGAACCATCACAATCTAAGCTCACGAATGGGAAATATCTAAATATCTATGGCACAACAATACTTGTAAAGATATATCCAGAGGTGGTCACTACGGCACGGTGATTTCTACAATACACAAGTCCGGGGGTCTTACACGGGACCAGAAATTTATCTATTAACCGTGATGGTATAAAATATACATTGTTACATTGTTAGAAATTTAGGGCACTTTCCATCTGTCAGAACCGAATCACCACACCTAAAGAGAATTCTAATCTGTTCAKCATGTCCATCCTGTTCAGTAGGAGACTTTCTAAATTTCTTCCTTAAATTTGATTATATAAAACTTACTTACAAATAGCTGACAATTCTCGACAAAAAAAAAACATTATATGTCCGTCTGACACGATAGTTCTATTGATATTGATAACCGGGGCGGGTTTTTCAAAGCTCGTCCATTGCTAATCCCAGGTTAAAGTCTTGAAAAACGTTTAAGTTAGCCCTTGAGTACAGTAATCGAGCCTCTAAGAACCTGGGCCGGCCGCTTCATCCTTTTTCTTTTTTCAAAATAACATATTACTCTCAACTGTATTCAAAGTTCATCTTATTTGATTCACCCCAATAATTTAATGAGTTCATATCATTGAAAATCTTAGGTAGCAATTGAGTCGAATTGAGTCGGCATTCGCACCTGTGACCAATTCAATTTAAATGACTCGGGGTTTTGTCTTTTCTTCTTATCAACATGGTCAATACATTCGGTCATGCCGCAATTTGGCGTGAAAAAAGCCTAAAGGCCTCACAACAAATGTACTGTCTTTCACAAAATTGAAATAAAATCGTCAAATAAGTGTTGTATTGTTGACAGAGAGAGTCGGAGCAAGGATATTACTGGCCTATTTCGTTTCACGGTATAGGAACGATGAGTGTGGTTAAATTCGACGAGTCGATCAATTTGCGTTAAATAATTTCAAGACCACTCGAGAAGATAATGGTCTTCATGTTTGTGAACTTTTCCATTCTGATCGGTTTACTGAAAATGACAATTAGAAGACAAAGCATATCTCCAGTCTTTGAAACTTTAAATTTAGCTTCAGGAAAATATTCTTTTTAGATTAATTCTCCCTGACATTTTGCAGAAATTGTTGATTAACAGAAACACTTTTGAAACATTTCAACACCAGCAGAAATCCAAACGTTGGTCTTAAACGTTGCTTGCATTTCCGTGCGCGTAAAAATCGACAGATTTTTCAAATGTAAAAGCCTTGATATACAGATTTTAGTACTGTCATCATCAGCATCACCGTTATTATCATCCGAAGTAGTCTTGATATCCTTATGATAATCAAAACTAGTTAAACATTTGCCCATAGATGTCTTATAGGTTGATAAAAACTGGATTTGGGATGGTGCGCTAAGTGACGGTAAAGAAAAAGGGGGCACTTTTCGATCGATATACAGTGCCTCAGACAAGAAAAAGGTAAAGAAACTCTACTCGAGAGTTAACTTGTTGTTTTGGATTGGGATTAAAAAAGATTGGTCGGGTATATAAAGGCCAAGAAGATATTTATAAGATTAATCTTTGATATTGAATTGATTAAAAAAAACCCGCAAAAAACCGACGTTCTTGTCCTCATTGTCAAGGTA